TGATGTTCACCATCTCACAGCACACACACAAGCTGGTCTCCGACCCTAGCCCTCCAGGCCGGCTAGATCCACCTCTCCTGGTCTTCAGCGCTCGCCCGCGACCCCGAGTCCCTGGCTAGGGTTTCGGCCATGGTGTTGCCTCCATCGCCGGCGCGTCTCCGACGACTCTGATGTGTCCTAGACCGCGCGCCCTCGTGCTCTCCCCGCCTCCTAGATGGCAACCCCTAGCTGGGTTTGCTCACGCGTGTCGGGCTGCACGGCTGCAACCCCGACCTCCTCTGCCGCGGTGCATCCTATGGCAACCTCCTCTGCAGCATTTGGACCACTGCAGGCCCTCCTTTGCCCAGGTGAGCACCTCAAACCCCCATCTTCCTCAAACCCCCACTTTCATTTGACACATTTCTATTTGGATCAATTTGTAGCACCCTTATGTTTATAGTTGTTTTATAGTAGATACTTTTTATTCTCATTTCTGAGCTAAGATTTGAGGATTTTGGAAAGTATGTAATTTATTTATTTTAGTTTCTTCCAATTCTCATATTTCTACTATTAATTCATGTCTACAAAATGTCTAATGTTGTTGTAAATATGATAGGTATGATTGGGCAGCGGTCTACTTGGTGCTACCCATCACAATCTGCCATGGCATGTAGCCTCCAGTAGGAGGGTCAACGACAACATGAATAACAGCCTTAGTAGTTTAAATGGGTTGTTGATGTAAATTGCATTTGTACTTGTTCCTAACCTTGCTGTGACATATACATTGTCAATATATGTTGTATATTGTCTTATTATGGAGGATTTTACAAACTGCTATGTTGCATATATACCTATGGATGGCTGCATATTGAATGATTTGTGTGACGTATAACATGTCTTGGGCCAAAATTGGAATTATGATTTGTGCACCACATTATGCTAAAAAGTGTGTTATCTCAAATTGGGCTAAAAGAAATGGACCATACCAAATTTAATTTGATCCTAAATCCATGACGGATTTTGTGACGAAAAGTAGCGTACATGTAGGCAGCCACATCATTCTAGTTGTTCAACTGAAAATCCTATGTGGCGTTGGTCCATGACGGTTTATTTCGTCATGAAGGATTGGGCCTAGATTGGGCTTGGATGGGCTTAATGCAGATCCATGACGGTCAAAAACCGTCATGGAAGGTACGATGCCAAATTATGACGCGATATACATGACGGATTCTAAATTCGTCGTGGACGGACACGCATGACAGTTTTTGATCGATTTGTGACGGACTTGATCCGTCATGTATTAACAGATTTCTTGTAGTGTGAGGGGCGCCGCGATAAGCCCGAACTCCTGGATAAATTTCCGGTAGTAGCCGGCGAGGCCGAGGAACCCGCGGAGAGCCCGCGGCGAGTGAGGCGTCGGCCATGCGGAGACGGCTGCCACCTTGTCGGCGTCCATAGCCACCCCGTCGGCCGAGATGACGTGGCCCAAGTATGCCACCGAAGGCGTCCCGAACGAGCACTTCGAGCGCTTAAGGTGGAGGTGGTGCGCGCGAAGCTCGTTGAAGACGATGGCGACCGTGCTGGAGGTGCTCGGCCCAAGACGCACTGTAGATTAGAATATCATCAAAGGAAACGAGCACAAACCGGCGTAAGTAGGGCCTGACGACGTCGTTCATCAAAGCCTGGAAGGTCGCCGGGGCGTTGGTGAGGCCAAAGGGCATCACCAAGAACTCGAAGTGGCCGTGATGAGTCTGAAACGCCGTCTTGGCGATGTCATCCGGGTGCATGCGCACCTAGTGGTACCCCGACCGGAGGTCAAGTTTGGTGAAGAAGCGCGCCTCGTGGAGCTCATCGAGGAGCTCGTCGACCACCGGAATAGGGAACTTGTCCTTAAGTGTGACAGCATTAAGGGCACGGTAGTCGATGCAGAAACGCCATGTGCCGTCTGACTTGCAGACGAGAAGCACCGACGCGGTAAATGGCGAAGTGGAGAGCCAGATGATGCCTGCCGCGAGCTTAAGCGCACACTGCCGCTCCAACTCATCCTTCTGCAACTGTGGGTAGCGGTAAGGCCGTACCGCCACCGGCGCGGAGCCTGGCAGAAGATGTATACGGTGATCGTACGTACGGGCGGGCGGCAGCCCCTGTGGCTCGGTGAAGATGTTCGCGTGCTGCTGGAGGAGGCTCTCCAATAGTGGGTGCTCGGCCGTGGCAGTTGTCGCGGCCAGCTAGAGTGGAGTGGTTGGGGCGGCACCCCCAATGCCGTCCCACCGAATGCGGCAACCCAACCGTCAGAAGGTTATCGTCAGCGCGTCGAAATCCCATAGAATAGGACCAAGAGTGCGCAGGAAGTCGACGCCGAGGATGAAGTCGAAGCAGCCCAAGTCGATGCCGGCGCAGGTGATAGTGAAGTGCTCGTCGCCGATAGTGATGGGCACGTCGCGGGCGAGCCCGTGGCAGCGGAGACGGTCGCCATTAGAGACTGTGACTCGCAATTGCTCACCGCCGGTTGGCTGTAATGCAAGGCGCCGCATGGTGGTCTCCGGCAGGAAGTTATGCATGGACCCTGTATCCACCAGGCGCTCGCCCTGGATCATGACCGGTAAGAGCATCGTCCGTTCATCACGGATTCCGGCCAGTGAGTGTAGGGACACCACGAGGGCAATGGCCGAGGCGGGCGCGGGTGCCGCTGTGGGCTCCGCAAGGGCTGGAGCGCCGAGGCCATCCTCCAGTGTCTCCTCCTCAGTCTCGTCCGCCGTCTCCAGGTAGAAGAGGCGGGGACAGACATGGCCCGGTGCATAGGACGCATCACAGTTGAAACACAAGCCCAGGCGCCGGCGTTCCAGCTGTTCCGCCTGAGTGAGGCGCCTGAATGGCCGCGTCGGTGCCGGGGTGGGTGCCGGGGCGGCTATGGACGACGCCGGTGCTGCCGGAGACGGCCGGGGAAGCTGTCGGCCCCCACGTGGCGCGGATGGACGCGTTAAGGTCAGGGCGCGCTGCTCGAACGCCCGGGCATAGTACATGGCCATCTGAAGGTCTTGGGGCCCCTTCATCTCGACGTCCACGCGGATGTGGTCGGGAAGGCCGCCGAGGAAAAGCTCCACCCGCTGTAAGGCCATCACACCGGGCGCGTGGCACGCCAGGGCCTGGAAGCGATCGGCAAAGTCCTGCACCGTGGAGGTGAACGGCAAGCGGCCCAACTCGTCCAAGCGGCTCCCGTGGACCGGTGGCCCGAAACGAAGAAGGCACAGCTCTCGGAAATGATCCCACGGGGGCATGCCGCCCTCATCCTGCTCGAGGGCGTAGTACCATGTCTGGGCGGCCCCGCGGAGATGGTAGGAAGCCAGCCAAGTACGCTCCGACGCGGGTGTGCACTGTCCGCGGAAGAACTGGTCACACTAGTTGAGCCAGTTAAGCAGGTCGTCGGAGCCGTTGTATGTGGCGAAGTCGATCTTGGCGAACCGGGGCGGCTGCTGGTGTGGCGCGCCCTGTCCCACTGCCTCGGCGGTGCGTAGGGAGGATGATGGTGCGCGGTCCATGGTGGAAGTCCCGGCGTAGTTCCCGGTGGCGCCCGACGCCTCGGGCTGCAACGGGAAACCGGATGGTGGACGGGCCCCCGGGTAGGCCGATGGCGGCCCGTGAAGCCAGTCTGGGAGTGGTGAGGGCGATGACGGAAAGCGGACCTCCTGGATCGGAAGCCCACTTGGCAACGACCGGCCCAAGTTAGGGCTGGTATGGGGCGGTGGAGGACCCTGCTCCGTGGCCGCTGGAAGTGACAGCGCGGCCGGCGCGGTCCAGGTGGGCCCCGTGGTGGCGGCGAGTGGCGCGGTTGCCATCACAAGCGGCGGCGGCCACTGTGGCCAAGGCGGCGGTGCGGCCGCCGGGGCGGGGAGCGCCGGGTAGCCTCCGGTGATGGCCCCCGGTACCGAGTACCACGGCAGCGCCTGCGGACCCGCGGCCATGGCGGGATGTAGTGGTGGGGGCGGCCCGTACGGACTTGCCAGGTAGAGGCGGATGCCCTGGACCGTGGCGACTAGGTCGTTGAGGACGCCGGCCATTGCCTCCTATGTGAACTGTTGCGGCTGCGGGGGAGGTGACGGCGGCGGCGTATGTTGGACGGGGGTCGGTGGCCGCCCGTGGCCTAGCGCGGTGTCGGGCGCCGGGAGGGTCGGCGCCGAGAGCGACGCCGTGGCGCCCGCCGAGAGCGAGGCCGTGACGCCCGGCACGGAAGCGGCGGCGGTGGAGGAGTTGGCGGCAGCGGCGGTGTTGGAGTTGATGGGCAGCGGCGGTGGTGGCGGCGGCGGCGGAATTGGAGGTGGCGAAGACATGGTCGAAACCCGGGTACCTGATACCAAATTGGTAGGACTAGGGTTCCTACCGGCTCTACTCCGTAGGTTATACGGGCAGAACAACGGAGGTCGGGGGCGAGCTCGCGAGCTCCGGCGCGTCGGTGCCGTCGCGAAGGAGGTGAAGGGCGGCGGCGGTTTAGGGCAGGAGGCGGCTAGGGTTTCCGGCTCCTCTGGAGCCGGGCAATAGGATAGAAATATCTTTATTGCTTGATCTCAAACGATGTCTTACAACTAGTATTTATAACTTTAGCCTAAGATAACTTGCCTAAAATAACTTGCCTAAGATAACTTGTGGGTCAAGCCCCTAATACTAATGCCCGGTGGGCCTCTTCCTGGTATAGACCAAACCGGTCATAACAGAGGGCTTCACCGTCGGCTACTCTAACTATTGTGTGTGGCAGGTAAATGTTTCTGCACAAGCTGCTACTTGATTATGATTTAACATAAAAAATCAACAATACTGCAAGCTATGCATGAGGATAAGGTATATGTTTGACACGTTTAGTATAGAGCTGCTAGAATAATTAAGCCCCCATTGCAACACACGGGCGATTACCTAGTAGAAAGAAACAAATTCAACGAAGCAAGGGTTTAGGGACAGCTTTTCACTAAGACAACTGAGTGCACATAATTCTTCAAACACAACATGTTTCAACTCAAACACAATTGGGACTACCGCGGATATCTAGAAGACAATATGCACTCCTCTTCCATACTGTATTGCCTGGTCAATCCCTCTGTGCTTCTTTCATCTCTGGTTAGCAGAGAACTCCTGTCAATACCATTCGCTTCAAATTTCCCAACCACCGCCATGACATGTTCCTCAGGTGATTGAACGCCTTCCAATCTCAGCTCCACTTGTCTCATGGTTGGACGTTCCTCTCCTCGCAATTTTACACACGCTACTGCAATTGCAGCAATTTCTTCAATTGTGTTGCCACTCTCATTCAGAACTTGTGGATCCAATATCTGTGACAAATTGCCTTCTGCAAACAAGGTAATGAAATGTGCCACAAGACCATCTTCAGAAGCCATATAAGAAAATGGTTTCTTTCTGGTCATCAATTCTATGAGCATAACACCGAAGCTGTAAATATCACTTTTCTCTGTGAGACGCCCAGTGTAGAAGTACATGGGATCTAGATATCCTAGTGTACCCTGCACCATTGTTGTTAAACCTGATTTATCCAATGGAATGTATCTTGAAGCTCCAAAGTCTGCTACCTTTGTTGTTAGGGTATCATCCAAAAGTATGTTAGAGGACTTGATATCTCTATGGATGATAGGTATTAAAGCCATGGAGTGAAGATAGGCTAATGATTTGGCAGTTTCAATTGCTATCCTTAGCCTATCATCCCATGACAATGACCTTGGTCCTTCGATGTGAAGATGATCGTAAAGAGTTCCGTTGGATATGAACTCATAGACCAACATTGGGACTTCCGTTTCGAGGCAGCAACCATAGAGTTTTACTACATTCCTATGGTTAATTTGTGATAGGATAGCAACCTCATTAATAAACTCATCGATCTCTTTTTGAACCACCATCTTTGGTTTCTTGATGGCTACGACATGGAGGTCGGATAAGATCCCTTTGTACACAGTACCATGCCCACCACCGCCAAGCTCACGAGCTTTATCAAAATTGTTTGTTGCCTTCTCTAGCTCTTCCAAGGTTATGATCATTTTTTCCGCAATATCAGCTCTCTGAGATACCAATTGTTGCAATAATTGACCACGGTTTTGCTCGAAAAACTTTTGTTTCATCCTTTGTGTCCTTTGGTGCTTAACTTTATAAAAAATGACGTATGTAAAGAGAACCAAAAGTATGAGGCCCGCACCACTGGCAACTCCAAGGATGATGCTTATACCTGAAAACACGACATATTGTCATTCATTTTATCAATCAGTCTATGCATAGTATGTTTGTAGATGTGCTCGTCCATATTTTTATTAGATGTTGTAATTTTAGTCAAAGAAGAACCAGTGGTAAAAGTTCTGTTTTGAAAGTTTTAAACTATCAACTTTAGGAAGCAATGGATTAATATGTAGAGTGAGAGGCATAACATTGCATGTATTCAAACATAAGAATTAATCACCATTGTTTAGTCGTTTGTCCAAGAATTGGTCGTCGGATTAATGGCTCAGTGTACTGTTTCGTTTTTTAGGAATTTACAAGGCATGCCTCGTTGACTACCATCTAATTTAAATATGTATAATAGAATAAATGAATACAAAATTGTCATATGTTGTAAATGTTCTCTCATGGGTCTGCGGATGATGCTATTTTCATCTGTACAAAATAGATAAGTCGTTTTCATATCATTAGCCAAAGCTAGAAAAAAAATGGTGAAGTTTCTTAATTGCCATCAATGTATGAGTGAGTAGTGCCCTCGATCTTCACTTTACTAAGAAAAGAGATATGATCGATGAACAAAATATTGGCAGCACATCACTACGCGAGAACAATTGAATTGAAGTCAAATAACAATCAGAATACCAGAGAGACTGGTAGGAGAAGCCGTGACAAATTAAAGTTGCAGCTAAGCGTTGCTCACCTTGTAAGTATTTGGCGCGCCCACCTGTGGACAAAATCACAAAAGAAAATGTTGAGTTTAGCTAATTATCATGTGTACATTTATACGGTTTAGAGGAAGAATTAATGTAAACAAAAAGGAATACATATGCATAACAGATATTGCATGTGGCGGACCTTTGCATCCGTTGTGGACGTAGGGGTTGCCATGGTAGTCGTTGTCGCAGTGACAAGAATAGCCTCTCTTCCTGGATTTGCAATGGCTGTGCTTGCTCTTGCAAAGGTCGGTCGATATCTCTGGGGAGCAATCGGGATGCGAGCTCACGTTGGTTGATGAGCCATGCTTATGCAAGACCTCCCAGCGGAGAAGAATGGGAACCTCAGCCGACGTGGTGTTCAGACCCTTCTGCATGATACGGTGGCCCTGCTGATCAAACCAACCCTCCTCTGCAATGAACACGTACCCAGGCAACAGTAACAAATCCTTGGGGTTGTTTGTCCGAAACCAACTGAATCGCAATTCACTGGGCATTCCGTCTGTGGACTCAGAAATGTGTGTCTGGCAGCAGCCGTTGCCGCGGCAGTACTTGCCGCCACCGCTTCCACCAAGGCCGGTGCTGCTACTGGTGTCGTTGTTGGAGCATAAGGAGACGCATTCGCCAATAATGCCCGGGTTGCCGGGCCCGAGAAGCGTGGCTCGCGCGTTGCACCCCGTGACAACGAGTTCATTGCTAGTGGAGAGTGAGTAGGGTGCCTCTCCCGGAAAAAAGAATGGGAAACCGGCTGTTTTCCCCGAAAATCCAGGGAAAACCGAATACGTCTTGGACATAACAGCCATAAGGGCATCCCTTCTGACAACACGCACCATGGAGTTGTCAAGGGAAATATCAATGACCTGAAAGTCGGCGTTGCCTAGGAGCAGACGAGGGGGTTCAACGCTTGTGTCGCAGGTGAGGTTGAATCCCGGCTGCAGGTAGCAGCTGGTGGACGGGCCTATGCCGAATGGATATGGCACCTCCACGTTTCCACAATATGTCATGCAGCTACCTGTCATTCCAAAGAGTGGCAGCAACATCAACTTTTATAGAAATAAAAAATAATCAATTGACAGCCTAGTTTTGTAGGGGAACTGACAACGTAGCTAGTTTCGACATCCACTTCAATCGTTGGAAACAGACCTTTCATTCTTTTTCTCTTGTGTACATTCCAGCATGTCAAATCTTTCACGACTGGATTTGATGGCTATATATCCTACATCTAAAACATAACTCATGTAGGGGCAGGAGGAAGCATGAAACAACACAGTATCATTTAGAGACCCTCAGTATCTTCTGTATCTAAATAGCTAGCCCCCCCCCCCAACCTATTTCTCTCAACTTTCAAGCATGACACCTCATCAAAGCAACATGCATTACACAAGGCTCCAACTCAACATTCAATGGGTCATAGAAAAAGATTCATATCAACATGCAAACATGCATGATATATTTAATAAATATTTTAGAAAAAAAATAATCAAACACAATAAACCATATATATTTTTAGTTTTTAGCTCTCATGTTATTTCTTCAATCCATAAAATCAATATCTTTGAAATATATTGCAAATATTCCCGTAACAACGTGCGATGCATCATCTAGTTATTTATGTTTATCCACTCAAAAGATAAAAGAAGCACGGGGCTTGCCTTAGCATACCCCGTTTTAAAACAATTTATTGATCTTGATGCATATTACGGGTTAAGATCAGTGCTAACCCGGAAGTCATACACGGTGGTTGGTCAATTCATATTATTTTCTATGATATCTACTCTATCTTCTGCTCTGATCGGAACTTGAGCTCGCCGGTGATGACCTCAGGGGACATGTACTGCTCCTCTTCATTGGCAAGCTTCTGCATGGCTTTCACCCTATCCAAGATTCCTCCTCACCTATTTGTTTGTTGTAGTTGGTATAACAAGAGACTAGGGGGTATCTTGCGGTTAGTACTCAGAAAATAAAGTTAGGGGGTGCGTGTATATGGTTCTTGTGCGAAAGTCGGCATACACCGAGACAAAGTGAACAGGTTTGTGTTTTGTGAATATATTTGGCTGCATCTCGTGGGAGCGCGAATTAATCATATGTAAGAAGAGGTGATGAACGGAGCATC